TACGACAGCTTATATCACACCGTACGAGAATATTCATTTTGATTCAATTATTTTCAAACGTTTATGAAATCACGTGCTTGTAAGAGTATTTTGCAGCCCATTTGCCATCATCTTGTGTGTGTCGTAGTTGATGATAAAATACTTTACCTCAGAGAATCTGGAGAGGAAGTTAAAGTACTACTGCAGATCGAGTATAGATTGTAATCCCCAAGGAAAGATTGCCCTTAGAATATATTTTAAGTTTGTTCCTCTATGGTCTCTTCTCTTGGAGGATGGGAGATAAAAAAAGCGAACGACTTCAGAACACAAGACAGTTCAAATCAATTTGCATTTCAGTTTCCGTCTGTAACAGACACTGTTCTTTTTCCTCTGTTCACTGAGTAATTCTAAAAAAGGAACAATTATTGACAAAACCGCCCTATTGACACCATCGCTCTGGTCATTGTTGACAAAATACAGACGCTTTTTTACTATCCTCTACTTCATATGTGATTACGGGATAGCAGTTGTTTTGTTGAAGGGAAAACATATCCCCCCATATGAGACTAGATGGTAGATCACTTTTCTTCTATCACCATCAAATTGTAGCATGATGTTATTGTCTACTTAGTCCAATGATAACTTCCATTTCTTTAAAACATCGCTCCAAGAACTTTTCCCGCTTCTCTAAGTTTAACGGTTCGACTTGGTCCTCATGACTGGAGAACAGTAGACTTCAATAATGCTAGTCTGAAATAAGGTGTGTGATCGGGACGAAGGGGTTAAACGGGTTATTGTGTGATTGAAAAAGATTGACCACGTCGTTATCAGACTACGACGCGAAACTAGGCCAGTGTGAGGTCAAAGGACTTTTGAACCCAGTAGTCTGGATTAATTGATCTAGTGTTTGGAGGTAACATACTACTGAAAATTCTCCGACAACTCACGACCAATTTCGTCCTTTTTGGGGCTCACCAGGTGGGCGAAGTCCCCGAGTCTTCGCCATTCTCATGTTCTAACTGGACACAAATCGCAAAAAATTTGCAAACTAGTTTGTTTTTGGGGGGGACTCACCTAAAGCGTAGATGAATCTCCCGTTTATGACCGAATTTCTGTTAAAATCATTTTACTTCGCTCCCCATATTTCCCGTGGATAATATTTAATTGTCAACGGGATTTCAGACTGACCTCATTCACCTTTATGTTTTGCTGTCTAAAATGGTTAGGCGCGAGGAACAAGCACTGTAGATCATAAGGTTGACGGCAACTCGGGGACTGCGCCTACCTGATGAGCCCCAAGAAGGGCGAAACCGGTCGTGGGTTGTCGAAGAGTTTTCAGCAACCTTGTGAGTAGTTTCCTTTATGAGGATACAGTAAGTTTTCGCCTGAGTCCTCCACATCCAATGGTGTGAGAAAAGGCCTCTCTCTCACCTTCCTTTTCGACTTTACTATTACCATGCTGCGTGAAATTCCTCTGCTTGTCTCTGAAACTTTGGGGGTTGAAATACTCACAAACATCGAGGATACTGATGATATCGCCACCTTGGATCAGACCCTTTGGAACTGCAGAAACCTAGAGTGGCGTTACAAGTCTATGGAATCAAACACACACCTTATGCTTGTCGACCGTCCAATCGATTCGTAGATAAATTTACTCAGCTGAGCATTTGCATAAGTCCCGGTGGCTGGCTGGAGACGAGATCACTTCTCGAATCGAGAATTTCGTGGCAGCTTTTACCAACCACAGACATCCACACCCCAGGCACAACGTCAGGTTGTGTGTAGATACTGTGGCCGCATGTCCCATTATGCTTTACGGATCGGAAATGGCCGAGGATGTACGAAATCTTGCTTTGTTTAGCCATGGATATCTCCGAAGCGTTAGTCTTAGGACATGGTTTACAGCTGATAAACAAAAACTGCCAACGGTTGCCTGTGTTTCCACCGATGAAATTTTCCCATCGGCCCCCTGTGTAAACGCGTACATTTTTTGCCAATTTCAATTCATCTATCATCTTATTTCAAAAGTCGGACAAACTAATGGGTACCGTTTTATCCCACTTCATTTTTTTGGACCTAACGATAAACAAATAAAGTGTTTTAATGATAACTTGTCTGTTTGGCTCGACCAAACGCCCCAGCCGCACCACGGCCGCTCGGCGGTTTTAAATGCTTATCTGGTGTATCTTTCTTTCTTTTGTATTCACAGTGACCCCATCAATTCTGGATCGTGATCCCTTCGTCACCAAAA